GTAGTGCTAAACTTTAGATATTCTTGAAAAGCTTTTACTTTAGATCAAATGTGTTATATGTGTCATTTAGGCATACCAATGCATTTTCAGAATAGTAACAGAAATTTACTGTAGAAAAAAAGCAAATAGACTGTGCCTTGTCTGGTTTAAAGTACTGCAGACATAAAGATCTTGTGGAACAGATGAAACCTTGTCAGCGTGGCAGATTGGGAATGAATCATTGAACAGATTGCTGCTTGCCTCCTAGGTCATCATCCATATGTTTAGGTTAACTGGACATAGATTGGCCAGCGACGCGAGACATGGACTATGTCTCTTGAATTTAAACTGCCTTTAACGCATAAACAAAGTCATCTACACAGTTTTTTTTTAACTGTGGTAAGAAAAGACAGACGTTTATATGCAAACATCCCTAGCTTGTAAATCACCGTTTATAATCCATCCCATATGTAAACAGTCACCGCAGAGACGTCTTGGTAGGCGACTCCATCATAGAAGGTTTGGCAGTTTTACAACAGAGCCAACCAGACTCGAGCCAAGTCATATCTTAGAAGTAATTTTTTGTTTTTTTTAGCTCTCCTGAGATTAGACTGTGCTTAAGATGCAAAGCCATCCATGAGAAAGGAAGACTGTTTTCCTTAAGCACAGGCTCAGGTTGCATATTTGTTTGGTGAAGCCAAACTCTTGTTTATAACCACCACATGTCCTGCAAGATAATTTAAGCAGCAGGACGGATATTGCTGCTGTTGGGTTACATATTTTAGAGTTAAATATATGTCCTTTTTTCCTGTCTAATGCTGGGAAAGGGGAATTGAATTAAAGACACACTGAAGTCAAATAAGTATGTACTAAAACAGTTTCTGTACCAGTACAAGTCTTATTTCATATGGAAGGGACAACACAAGGAAGTATGCTGTAGAAGATTTCTGAACTTTGCCATACAGTGTAGTTGAGGTAGATGAGTTGCATTTCCATATTTAAAAAAATGTTTAGCTAAGAATTATTTTAGATTTCGCTATTTAAATTGAAGAACACTTGATACGATCTGAAGATAAACACCTGGAGAACATTTGATAGATGAGAGGAAAAGTGATTTTGAATCTGGAATTGCTTTTGTGGAAACTGCTGATTTAGTGGGATTTTAATGAACTGCCATATATGTCATTTAAACAGAAATGTCAGGAAAGGGGAAATATCCAGTGAGCAACAGTTTTGTTTATAAAAATGCCCTAAAGATGTCAGAGGTCAGAGGAAAATGTGCAGGCTGTTTTGAGGTGATAAAATGGCAGCAGTGGATTTTGCACAGACAAGAACAGATTGGAAAAATGTTGCCTGGTCTGATAAGACTCAACTTCAGCTGTGATAGTCGAGTCATAATATGGCATAGACAACATAACTGTAAATATTGAATCAGTCTGTCTGGTGTCAACATTGTAGACTTGTGCTGTTGGCTCAACGGTGCAGCGGATAATTTCTTTGGCACCACTTGGGCACGATTAGAACCAATTACAAGTAGCGTAAACATCACAGTCTATTAGCGCATTATTCCTGACCATGTCTATCCTTTTATAACCACAGTGGACTCAGCCTCTGGTGGCTACGTCTGGCAGAATGATGCACCTTTTCACAAAGCTCCAATCATGTCAAGCTGGTTTCTTGAGCATGAAAATGGGTTTACTGTAATCCAATGGCCTCCACAGTCACCAGATCTCAACAGAGCACATTTGGGATTACTTGAACATTGAGATTCACTTAATGCAGCGAAGTCCAAGCCCAGACTTGGAGAGCTTCTTCTCTGCAACTTTAAACCTACAAAGCCCTGTTTCCAATGGTGTTCAAGAAACCATTTTTTTTCATTGACAACATATTCCAAATAATTACAGCACATATTGTTGTAACAGAATAAATAAATCTCAGAAATCCTTTAAGTCTGAAAGGGTGACTACTTTATTTCCTTGAATTATCTTCTCTTAGAGAAAAAAGGACATTTCTATATATTTTGAAGAACTTCAAGTATATCTAAAATCTATTTAGACATTGATTATCACTTCAGTTGAACTTTATTATGTTTTTTAATACAGATTGTTAGAATCAAGAATCAAGGCATTATTTTTAATCAGATCATATTCACTACTGAACAACTAAACAAAAGAAACAAACATAACATGATTAGCAGTAAAATCTGCACTAATCAGTCTATTTATAGAAATAATACATTTTTTCAGCTGGTCAGGTGGGAGTAATCGACCCATCAAACCCAGGTTAACCCACGACTATGCCAAATTTCAATTTAATTTGTACTATTTGCTTAGTGAATAAGATGCTGATTGTGGGTGCAAAAAATGTGAAAAACTAATTATGCAGCTACTACATCTTAGTGACTTGGCCAACATTTATTGTTTCATGTTTGGTCTGTCCTTTTAATAATGTAGCACACCCGAAGGTGGTCCAAATAAGCCATCATGTTTACAGTTTACAATTACAAATTTTATGAGTGCAACCAACAGGAGAGTGAGTTCCTTTACTTTAATTATTTTTTTGTTTGCAACCCCTGTCTAGTGTGTACGTGGGCAACTATGTGTGTCACCTTCAACAAGCAGGCTCATTATAAAACTAATTAAACACGCCTTACTCTCATTATAAAGCTGTAGGGCTTAAGGAGAGATTGAGGACCTGGTCCTCCCAGAGGGCGTCCACCTGGTCAGCCCCGCTTTAGATAATAAAACCACGTGTGAATGCGCTGAAATCAAACCGCTCGGATCAGTCATGACGGGTCAATATTTGTCAGAGCTCATTGTAGCATCTCTATCCCTTGGCCACTCTCATGATATTCCTGCCAAAATGCCACAAAGCTCAATACATCTGTCCTCTCTGTGTGCGTGCGTGTGTGTGTGTGTGTGCGCGCGCGTGTGTGTGAACCTTTTTTTGTTTTTTACTTAAACATTGTTTCCCAACAGAAATGCTTACATTCTCTTGTGTGCTATTTATGAACAGAAGAGTGTGGGAAAGCATACCCAAATCTGCGTAAATGTGGGATTCCAAAGAGGAAAAGAGAATCAAGAAGACCTCTAATGAGAGTATTATATTTTAAGTATCTTTTGCAACAAAAATATGCATAGCAATAAGTCAACAAACAATCCTGAAAGGATAGTGCCCTATACATGACCTAAAAACAACAAAACAATGTCCTGTCCCTATTGCAGCTGGGTGGTATTGGATGAAAAACTGAAGCCATGTCCTCATGTTACTTCTATTTCTATCCTCCTTTCCACCTAAACTAAAACACACAGCTTTTAGCAAACATATCCCCCCCTTCTGTTTTTCATTCCTGGCTGCCTGAGCTGACTGTTGGCGAGGCGCAACTGCCTGGAAGGTGGAGCCGTGATTGATTGATGAAGTTTTGGTGCCTGGGGGATCCAATCATGTAATCAGTTTGTATTGATTGACTGTCCCCACTGAGAGAACGCGGAGGCTCTGCCACATTGTGCGAGCTAGACCTGGCAAACGCTCAAAATCATCTGCAGTCAAATTTGATTTGGGTGCTGAGGCCACGTGCTCAGACTCATGCTGGGAAGATGTGGCATAATCACGCTGTAGTCGTTTGAGAACAATTCCACAATTCTCCACTCCGTGTCTTCATGATCTTGCATTTCTTTTAATTATTATGATTGGGAAATTAATTCAGCTTTACTATAATTGCATCACACAGCAAATGATCCACTTTCAATGGAATTTAAAAGGAGCTTCGGCTTGGGTTTGCATCGCTAATAAGGGTTGTTTCTTGCTGTGCTTTGCTTTTATTCCGACTTTGCTGACTCTTTCACACTTTTGATTTTTACTTCGTGTGTCAAGTTATCATTAATATTGATACGGTTTACATTATTCCTGCAGAGACAAACATAGGTTTTGTGATTACAAATACAAGCATTTTTCTGGGAATAAAATTAAGGACTGTTGTAAAGAAATGCACATAGAAAAAAGTAGAAGCCAGATGAAGAGCTGAAACACTTTCATTATACAGAAACTAGTACATAAATGTAGTTCTACAAAAATAAGCTGCCTATTGACAGTGTGTGCATCAGCGACAGACTTTGAACAAAGCCTCACCTGCTTATTATTTTGCTTATCTGAAACAGCACACATTGTTTGTCAAAGTGGAAAGGAAAAGTGAAAAGCTTTTACCGGTTGGCATCTGTTATGTTTGCAGTCAAAAGAAATTCTGTTTAAAAGCAATGAATTCACAAAGAACTGTTTGAGTGCAATGGAAATCGTGGCAAAGCTGGGAGGCAAACGTCTTGGAAATTTTCTTAATTTGGTTTTTGAGAGGCGATAAAAAGATAAACATAATTTTTAATCTCCAAGAATCCAGCCCTGAGATGTTAAAGCAAAGTTTAAAACTGGAAGAAGAGCGGTTTGTTTCCTTGAAAGAATCCTAAAGAAGCTAAAGACACATTGACATATTTTGTGACTTTGAGCTTCAATATTCCCTTTTCTACTCATTTGATGGAGAAATGCACAGTACATGTATGGGACACCGTCCCAATACTCAGACAAAATGCACTTTGCTATTTCCTCATGATTGAGGAATAGATAGCCTCAATGGTATAAAAATCTGGTTGTTTTATCAAATTTATGTTGCATATTGGTTTTCTCTAATTATATTTAAAATCCCTTCAAAGGTCAACTTCAATATTGTAAATTCTATTGTATTTTTATGTTTTTGCTATATCTGACATCTCCTCTGGAGGATAATTTATTTATAGCTGTGCAGCTATGATTGGATAAGCTGATAAAGAAAAAAGTTTGATGTTAAATTCTTAAAAATGTCATAGACAGACAAGCTTAATTTATTGATCCATACTTTTTTTCTTGTAGGTGAACATTTTTGCTCATGATAGTGAAAGCAATCTTTACTTGTTCCTTGTAAAGGTTAAGTTTGTTTCTTACTGATAAAAAAATAAATAGCATCTCTTTGTTTCTGCTTGTCGACGTCTCTTTAGATCAGGGTGGACGGCGCTCAGGAGGGAGGAGTGCTGTATGAGACGCTGACTGTGATGAAGGACAGCAGCCCAGTCCTACGGGACATGGCCTTTTCCCTGGACAGGAACTCTCTGTATGTCATGTCTGGCTATCAGGTGAGAAAACGCCCTTTTTTTGGAGCTTCTTGTCAGAAGAGCTGCTGAGTTGGGTGGGGATGTAGCGATAGGTGAAAGCCTGAGATCTGAAGGACGCCTGCGGGTTCAAGTCACTTTGAGAGCGAACCTTCAGCATGCTGATGTGCCCTTCAGCGAGTCGCTGAATGAATAGCATGGAAATTTGGAGCTGAAGTTTTCATTTGATGTGAAATTATTTTTTATTTGTTAACTTTTCTTGGTGTTGGGTCAGAGAAGCTGATAAAATTACGCATTTGCTGAGGCACAGAAATAAATAACTCTTCTTTTGAGGGATTTGCTTGGATTGAACTTATCAGGATGCTGCACATAAGACTGCTTGCTTTGTTCTGCATAAATAATAATTCCTGCTGGAGCAAGTATTTACAGTTTAAAAATTAGCAGCTAACACAATTTCAAATCAAAAACAGCAATAAATGACTAATGAATAATATTTTTTTTGGAATACGAGCAGATGATCATGGCTTATCGCCAAAACACAGAGAGGAAATTCAAATTCACGTCTACAGAGGGATGGTTAAATATGTAGGCTGTGTGTGAGGGGATGGACCATTGCTCTAATTACTTATCCAAGCGAATCGACTTACAGTGCGTGCATCTTTTGTGAGCACTCCTGACACACAAACCGTGGAAAGCCACTGAAGGTTTTTTTTTTCTGGATGAATGTGCCCCCCTATTGCGCTCTTCACTTGGCCCGCCATCACAGAGGCAAATAGTTGTTGCTGGACGGTATTCTCTGCACTCATTGCAGATAAGAGAGAACATTGGTAATCACTTTCAACTCCCATCAAGTGATTATTTTGGCGCAATGGCCTGCCACTGTGAAATGGGATTAGGTTTCACTGTGGCCAGAAAAAGCCCCTATCGCTGCTTTCTGTTGGAATCTACCGAAGCAGAGTCACAGGATGGAGAGCCAAAGGCCAGCGGGGGCAATCGCGGCAGCACCAGTTATTACAGGGCGGCTCAAGCTCTTTTCAAGAGCATGAAAATGAACTTTAAAAGCCATCTATCTTTAAAAGTATGACGTTTAAGGGAATAAGGGATGTCATCAAGGAAAGATGCGGGAGGATAAAGACAGTACTGCGTTGAGCACCATTTTCTAAAATAAATCAAGGCACTTCTTGTGTTTGTGATTGACTGGAAGAGACACAGCATTATTTATTGATGAGCTCTGGTTGTTCAAGGAGAGACGCAAGCTTCTTTCAAGGAGATTTCCAGCTACTTTCTCCCCTCACATCTCCCTCAGTGGCGCATAGTAACCAAGCAGGAAACCAGAAACCCAGCTTGACCGAGCTTTTTCTCTCAATATTAGAACAGCTTTGGCTTTGTAGCCCTCACAAGCTTTGAGGAAAGTAAAGCCTTCCTCTGTTTGTCTCCATCTCCATCTTTGCCCGAGCGCTCCCCGAAAGACTTTCCCGCAGCGCTGGTAAGGAATCCTCCCCAAGAGACAGAGCTTCACTTACAGATTCCCCACACTTTCAGCGGATCCCAGTTATGAGAGATTTTCAGATTGGTGGAAGCCACACAATGCAGCCCTGATGAGGAATGAGGAATGAGGCACAGAAAGATTTGGCTGAGATCAGCCAACTCATGTGGAATGACAATAAGGCTCGCCGTCTACTCTCGGTTTGAAACACGCAGGGTTAGCATGATGTTGAGGAGTGGGGCAAAATAAAGGCAAATCACAGTATTTATGTGTGGATATAAGTGTTTTTCTTAAAGACCATTTGGGAGCAACGATTGATGTGAAAAAAGATTTCACAGCTGTCGTCGTTTTTCTCACTCGCTATGTGTCTTTAGTTTGATCATTCTTTAGTAAAGTAATGCTTACAATCCAAACACATGACTCACAGAGTTTTCTTCGTCTGTCTGTGAACTGAAGGCCTTCAGCCTCGGAGTAAACACAAAGCCGCTGCAAGTTTTGTCCAGGGAAATCCCTCAGAGTGCCACTCAAGAAGATGCTAAATCATTCCTTGAAACCCCAACCATGCACATCTTTGTTTCTCTCTTTTTTTTCTCTATACTCTTTTTTTTAAATTAATGGTGAGTGTTACCAATACACACTTCCTGCCCATGAGTTGTGGAAAGTGTCTGAATTATGTTTCAAATGAAATGAATGTTGTTCATTTCATCTGAACAACATTCATGTGAGGTGAGACACAGTATGGCTAGATTCCTCAAAGTTTTCAAAAGACTTTTGCCTTAATTTCCATTTAAACCTAACTTCATCATTGCTAATGCTCAGTCTTAATTTAAATTTGGCTGAACAAATTCAGTCAAAATAACAGGACACTAAGGTGCTATGTTTCCTTAGTGTTTGCAACATTTAGTGCTTACCCAACTCATAGATTGAGAAAGAGATGAGGATAGTTTCTATCATTCCAGTCCCGCTCCTGGTTAGTTTTATGTCCTTGTGGTTTATTTTTCATATTTTACCAAGATTTATTTGTTTACAGTTTATAGGATTTTTGCTCTTCTCTGGATTTTGTGGGTTAGATTTTGCAGCAACATGTTTTGTCTGTCGCTGTCAACCATGAGCGAATAATTAACCCCCATCATCAAAAAATAATCACAATATATTACCAGTAACAAGTAGTAGTGCATATAGTGAGCTATAATAAAATATCCAATAATTATCTAAGTAGATATGTATTTTTCCACAAAATGTTAGCTTCGGTTGTTATGAAAATGCTACATATGTCAAACATAACTTAAAAAGGAATTTGACTTCACAGTGTAACACCGTCTCTTTAAGAAGCTCCTGCTCTTTCTGACACTCAGCCTGTAACATGTCATCACAACAATGCTTCTCATCCCATTTACAACTTTTCTTCGGAGCACTGGACTGAGAAGTAATTCCTATCATAAACTCAGTAGATGTGCAATTCCACAAAGTGTTTCCAAATTTCTGCTGCTGCTAATCTGAAGTAGCTGTGTGGGGGATATAAAATCTAAAAAAAAGGTGATTTTATATAAATTAGAAACACCCAACTTCTGTTGAGTGTTTGTCATTGTACTATTGAGAAATTTATACTGAATTTAGCTACACACTCATGTTTGTCTTTTAAATTGTCAAGACATTAGCAGTTCAGTTAGCTGATTTATCTCCTGACTAAATCAGGCCCTCTTTCTGTTTGATTGACCAGATAAAATCTGATTTCGCAATTTCCCTCTCAAATTGAAGTATATGCCATAATAAACACTTTAGTGTTTCCTTTTTTTCTTTTTTCCTTTTTTTCCTTAGATTTAAATCATTGAAATATAGCAGGCTTATTGGTGCAGTTGGCAGAAAATCTCTAACAGTGACATTTTCATTTGTTTCTCTTTCTGTGCTTCTAAAGTTTCCTTCTACTCCACTCATCTTTCACTTTCTTCAGCTTCATTTTTTTTTATATGTTGTCTTTTGGGCTGTGGTTTCCGAAAAGTTGCTTGCTCTGCAGCAAAGCAGTATTCGCAATTAAATTATTATTGTTTGTGGTATTACTTACATTCCTAATTTGTGGGCAGTTTCATTTGTCCTTTCCTGACTTTTATTTTTTGCTGCTTTTATTTGATAATTTTTAGCATAAGTCATCTCACTTATTACCTTGAGGACCTTTGGTAAAGGCTTGTGCTGAATTGAACATTTTTGCCAATTAAATCTTCGAGCTCCTGATTCTAATTTCAAACATTAAGCTCTTATTGGTGACCAGTGCTGCTGACCTTATCTTTTTTTAATAAGCCCAATAATTCCTAGCAATTTTGCAGGTGTTTAAAAGAGGGTTTTTAACTGAATTACATTTGCCAGCATGAATTTAACTATGGTAATGAGGTATATGCTAGATTTTTTAAAGCAACATGAAGATTGGAACTCATCTCTTCACCCTTAAACAAAAAGACACATTTCTTCACACAATCTTGTTTTTGTAAAGTTGTTATCTGATTTGGTTTTCCTTTAGTGTTTTTTTTTTTATTTTTGAATTGTGATATGAATAACAAGGAAGCCTAAGATTCATGCACATGCAGAATCTACCTCTAACCAGACTGAAAAACTTTGCTAGTGGGACCTGGAGAAGAGACTAAGTATTAACAGATTGTTCTAAGTTTCTGGCTCACGTTGTTTGTTTTCTAAGCTTCAGGTTTCCAAAGTCTGTTAGAGAAAACAGCCAACATGCCTTTCTCCATCTGCACGTCTAAACACAACCAAGCAGTGCATTTATATAGGAAATAAAGTATGAGTTTATTTGTTCAATTTCTGATGCCTTGATGATGATTATGCATATTTTACCTCAATTTTCCATAATTTACTTTTCTACCAGTTTTGCAGCAGTCATCTGATCTTACAGCATGAATATCACTTCTGGGAAATTTTATTGTGCAAAAGTGAGCTTGCGATTTACATCTTTTATCTCAAAGTGTTTCTCTATGTCACGTTTTGTTGAAATGCATTTTCACTGTTACCCCTTTTATTTATTGACGTGTGTTGAAGGAGGGATATTTCACAAGATCAGAATTTTTGAGCTTCATATGATAGTGCAATACTATTCCCTCACCAAAAATATACTTGAAGTGTTGCTTCAGCACTCCGAGTAGTTATCATACTATCTAAGGAGATATTTTAAATGTCAAAAATATTTCAACGGTTTTATAAGTCTTATTAAACCTAGAGAAATAGCTGTTCCTCTTTAGAGCATATTTGATTGTCATTAGGTCAACGTGTGCATGAATGCTATGATAGTCCAGCTGTGAAAACCTCCTGCTTTTATGGCTGCAAGAATATTAACTGATGATTATGTTGCAGTATAACTTCTTAATTTTTATGGATGATGATGCATGTTTTTCAGTTTTGCATACTCTGATACATTTTAGCCAAGTTTCTCTAACACTATTTTCAAAAATATACAGCTATGTACAAGAACATTCATTTTTAGAAATGTTAGAAAAGCAATCTTTACAGGTTCTGCAATAAAATAACTTAATTTAATCTGAGAGATAATCTGAAAACAGTTCCCATCATGGGGAGTCCCGATATGACCTGAAATACTCAGTTGACACATGACACTTACATGTTATTTTAAAGGATTTTCCAAAGCAGACTGAAAGTATAGGATTTCAGAATTGCAGAGCTCCAAACGCCTGTACATTCATCTGGCCTCATTTATAAACTTTCAGTTTATCCGGATAAAAGGGAAAAGTGGTGGCAAATTGTGTAGATCATAGGGTCACACATTACTTTGAGGATGCTCCAGATGTTGTGAATAACACTTTTTCTCATTCAAAAAGCTACAAATTAAATGTGATGCTGTGCTTATACAACTCTGCTGTGATTGACACTGCCAGCAAGCATTTTACAGGAAGCAGCCTGAACCAAATGGTTTTTATGTTCTGTATTTGCTTTAAATGATCAGTTTCTACAAGAAAAAAAAAAAAAAAAATCTCCAAACAAAGTTAAATAGATGCTAAATATTTTGCGTAGTCATGAATGATTTACAGTGCATTTACATAAATAGATACAGTGCAATAAATATTAATGAAGGGAGAATTTATTGAACTGAAAATGTGAAAAGACGGCAGTGTGCATATACATTCTGCTGTGTAGTGGGAATATTGCAATCATTACAATAAACTATTACACTATCTTTTCTTTTAAAGCTAATGTTATGAGTATTTACACATACTGTTATTTGCATTACTGTTAAGCGTCTACATTTCCCCATGCTTTTATTGATTTGGAGGCCATATTTTCTTACAATCTTAGAATAGTCTTGATCAATCTTCAGGCATATGATGGCTCTTAAATATTTTTCTTTCAACCTCTGCTCCTTTTTCGCTACTTTTAAACAATACTATGTTTAAAAGTCAACATTTTTATGGACAATATAAATGTAATTCACCAAAATTCTTGTTAGTGTTTAAATAGAATTTTATGCCAAACAATGCTGAATTGCCATTTTGTAAACTGATTCACCTAAATAAATAAAAACAAAGTGTCTTTGTGAAAAATGTATTTTTTAAAACTGATTAAGTGAAATTGTGGTTCACAGTCTCGGTGCTTAGAATGAGGTTGTCTTTGAAAGGTCTGTTTGGAAATTAGGATGCTAAACTGAAGACTTTTTCTTCTTTAGAAAATGAGAGATCGTGTCAAGAAGACTTCCAATGCAGCTCAAACATTTAACTTCACTTTAAACAGGAATACCTTTTTGTTTTCATCCGCCAGAGTACAATAAATTTTTATCCATTTAAAAAACTAACAACAACAACAACAACAATAAAAATCATGCACCTTGATGTTATTGCTGCAATACACAACTAAAAAAACGACAAAATTACTTGTTAATGGATCAAATGAATTTACCTTTAAATTTAAGTTCATGATTTTGAGTATACTTGGCTGATTTGCAGTCCTTTTTGTGGGCCTAAATTTAATTCTAAGTCTAAACTTAGATCACTTTTGTAACGGGCAGTTTTACTGGGTCTAAATCAGAGCTACAAATAGACGTACCATGTGACTGACATCTAACAGTATTCAAAATTGAAATCAGATCTATGGCTCAGTGGATAGATTTCTACAACCTGAAGTTGATTTTGAGTTGTGCTCTGATAATTTTAAATTACTTTGCAAAGCCCTATGAGCTGTTGCTCTTTCTTTTTCCTTCTCCTCAGGATGAAACACAATGCATGACAGGTATGTTTTACGTGTAAATTGCAAACAATTCATAGATGTGTGACCTTTTTCTCACTGTAGCATACTGATCTCTAAGAGTAAGGGCCACATTTGGGCAAGATGAGGCCTTTGTATGAGGCCAACTTAGGCAGTACTGCTTCAAATTCACATGGGAGTAATCTATCCAGATGTGCACCAGAAGAAGTTAGCATTGCTTCCACCGTGCCTCACCCAGGACCTTGTCATGCTGCCAACATGATAATAAACCACCACAACCTCTCTATGAAAGTTAAGTTAATTTGTTAAGCACAATGGTGAGCTCACTGTGCTCTCACTGGGCATAAAAAGACCTCTTTAAAACCTTCTGCGCAATCTATAGTCTGTTTTTTTAACGTTGTAGTGTTCTTAATCTTTCTGAAGGGGTTCTAAGGAGGCATTTCTGGGTTTATTTCAGTAAGCTCTTGCTGAAAACAGATCCACAAAGCAAATACTGCTTTACATTTAGAGCAAGCATTACATTGCATTCTTTGTAAGGTACCAGAAAGCAGATCCATTCTTCTCTCTTTGTAAAGGTCATGCTGTCTACAATTCACAGACCAACAATGTTAGTTTGGATGAGCTCTGGACCACAACTCTTCATGGATTACAGCCCTCGGCCCCTCCCACACTGCAAAATCATTTTGCTAATGGAATGCCACAAATGGGTTCTGAACTGCTGTTTAAAAAAAAGGGACAGTTATTTGTAGGGAGCAACAGATAATCCATTTTGCCTACACAGACCTGAGAGAGCACCCACTTATGCTATCAAGTGCACCGGAGACACTCTAATCCATAATCCACTCTTCATTTCTGATTGCTTACATCAGGAAATTGCTTGCATCATATGTACAGACCTAGAATAATAACCAAGTAGAAACCAGGCATCCTCAGGCTGCTGCTCCAAATGGCTTGGTATGCAGGGGTGGTGTAACAGCAACGACTTTTTGCAGTTAATTGAGAGCTAATGCTTTGCCAGACGCTTATGCAAGTATGTGGCTATCTACTGGATAAGATTCTTGTGTGTGCACTGAAACATAGTTAAAAGCTCATATGCTCATATGGTTTTGTTTAGATGTTTTTCCATGTGCTAGAACAAATGAAAATGGAAAGTGGGTGTAAGATGTAGTTGCAGTTTTTTTCTCAACACTCTGATATTGAACTATTTACATCTTGAAAAACTAAACTGCTGGTAAATGTTGCACAGTAGGCTTATTTTATCTTATCTTGGCATACTTGCCAAAACATATCCAATAGTGAGATATTACGACTTCTGTTACAGTCTAAAAACACTAAGATAAGTTCTTCTTTAGTTACTCAATGCAACAAACTACAGCGGCCCAAATCCAAAGGTACAATCCCAGATCTCCCACTTAAAAATGTCATTGTCCAAAACCTAAACAAAGATGATGAATTTTGGTTTTGGAGTTCTAGTTTTCTCTGCCATTAATCCACTTCCAGAATGAAGCTGATTCTGGATGCCGGTTTGGAAGAAGTAATTGTAACAGCTACTGATCACTTAGGATGAAAAGAAAAACATTCCATTAAATAAAACTGAACTCTAGCACATGGTTATACAGGAAACATTTGGAGTCAGAGAAGGCTTACATTTCCTCATGTGCCAAAAAACTGCCATCAGTGCGCCCCTAGACAAATTCTTAATACAATCACAAGTGGCTAAGAATATTTTTTTTGTTTTTGAGCAAAAAGTGAACTGATGAAGTTAAGTCATTATTCAGATAATACAGTAAACATTCCCTGAAATTTTACACCATTCTGCTAAGCATTTTCTGACACAACAAGGTTTTCTCTCCTGTGCCTTAAAGTCCACATGGACGTTAACTGGCTCTTATAATCCTTGGCCTGGTGTGAGATTTGCACAGATATTACCCTCATGTCCAAAAAAATAAAAACAGAAAGCATGACGGTGACCTTTCCATGTATTTTTTAACTGTACACACACAGAAATGAAGACTACTTTCCATGCAGTGAGACATGGCAATGGCAGCATTATGCCTTTCTTCAGCATGGACAGAGAAACTGCTTAGAGCTGACGAGTTGGACTGAATTGATTGATTCAGTACAAATGCAGCTACAATTTTCAGATTTCAGTTTGTAAGAAAGCCACAACTGTTATTATTACGCTTCTTTCCCCAATGAAGGAGTCATAAATTATATCACTAATTCTGGGGTTCACTAATCTTCAAACTCTAAATTTTTTATGGCCAAAAAAGGTTAAAACATATTTAAAAACAGAACACTGATATATTGAATTGCTTTTCCAAAATCTTTTAGTGGTTCTCAGCTGTTGTTGACATGCCAGCCCTCCTGCCCTCCTGTCATTCCTCTGCTCCAGGTGGTCCAGGTCCCTGTGGAGTCCTGTGAGCAGTACACTACGTGTGCTGAGTGCCTCAGCGCTGGTGATCCCCACTGTGGCTGGTGCGTGCTCTACAACATGTGAGTCTACTCCCTTCATTTTCTCATGCATCCACCAAAGCAGACAGATTAAAACCACGTCACTGTTTTTACCAAACTGCTCAGAAGGAAGCTGAGCGGGGTTAAGCCTGCGTTCCTATGATTTGATATAGCACTCTTATTATAGTCTCTGGAGCTCCCCACTATCAACATCTGGCATAAAAATTGGAAAACCAGGGAAGTGGTTGCTGGACTTTGTGATCCCTCATAAATAGCGGCATTTAGGACAACAGAAGCTGCATGATCACCAGATTTCATTGTCTGCCGAACCAAAGGATAACGGGTGTTAATGGAGGAAAGAGGGATTAGCCTTCCAGCCACAGCGAGCGCAGCAGATGCACTTTCTACATACCCATGAAACATTTTGGACCTGACAGAGCAAGCTTTATCTCCTCCATCTTAATTATCTGACCCCAGGTTAGCTTGCATAACACTTCGATATGGAGCAAAGGGGATTCAGAAGATTAAAAGCCTGCTTTTCGGCACCAGCCGCAGTGTTTGAAGCTGACCTCAGTCGGGGATTTATCCCTGTCTCATCATTTCACGTCTGCATTTCAGCTGGCTATATCTTGATGGTAATCAGCATTATTTAAATTACAGCTCTCTATATTATCAAACTCAAAAGATAGGGGAATGAAAAAATAATGCTGTTTAAAAATCCAAATTACCTCATTAAGTAACTGTTGTTGTTCTTTTCCAACGCTAATTTTGTCTGCATATCTCATTACACTCTTTATTTGAATTAAACTTATCTGAGTGAACATGCTGCTGTTTCCCTCCAGTTTTGAAAAGAAAAAAAGTCCCACACTGCAGAGTAAAACTACTTTGTTTTTCTGCCCTATTAAATGCAGATTGGGGTCTTTTTCAGCTCTCTGAATGACACTCACAGTGTCATGTTGACTGCTTTCAGCGTCTCACTTTCCCACCCGTGGTGATTTGCACCAAAGCACCTATCTGACAGAGTGGGTAGGGGGTGTTTGTGCACATGTAAAAAGCCTGAAGGAAAAAAGGGAACAAATGGTTTGATCAGACAAAAACACAGTGAATGAAAGAAACAAAAATAAAAGCCAATGAAAGACAGTCGGAGATGAAAGGTGCCTTTTTTCTTTGACACTTCAGCTGATGAGCGGTCAGAAGGTGATCCGTGCTCCCGTAGCCGTTGTTTGCCTCAAGGAGCCGAGCCAGCAACAGCTGCCACCGCGTTTCCAATCCACCTTTATAGTGAGCCATAATTACAGCAGAGGCCTCAGCGCTCTTTGAGTTCTCTCAGGAGGTGCCACCCCCTCAGCTGCATCTGAGCCTGTATTACTACTGTCTCCTTTTAGTACGCATTCAAAGAAAGACATGATGGTTTACAGCCAAAATGCTCCCTGGGTTTGCTATTACAAGTCAACTTTAACTGAGCTGATCCTCTCGCCTTTTCAAGCTGAACATGCAGAGAGATGAACCATTTGGAGTTTGCCTTTCAAATGCACAAGTACAGCTGGAACAAAAAGTATCTTAGCAACTAATCCCCATTTCCAAGACAGGACAAACTGCTTGAAATTTTCAATATCCACTTGTAGTTTAACTGTATATTCAGTGTGCTTTTGTCTCGTATAAAAATCCCTGTGATGTCCTGCTGTGCTACCCATCCTTTCATTCATTACTTTTAATTGCATATTAGGATTTAGGATTTAAAGCTTATTGCTTTGTAATTTACTCAAAAAACAAGCCAAAACTAAAGTCCGATTAACATGCTCTCTTATTTAAGATGATTAAATGAAAAAGTAATTGGCTTTTTGAAACTGGTTTCAGTGATACTGTTTATCAGCTGCATTTATCTACCAGTTGCATGAGATCAGGTTGTGGAGATTAAAGATCCTGGATGGAAATCCAGACATCCCTTTTCCCAAGAAACTCTCTGCAGCTTATTCTGGGGGAGATACCAAGATGTACCTTGGCTTGAGTGTCTACACAGTCACCTCTCGTTTCTTCAACATGTGAGAGGTCACATGTTGGTTAAGAGGTCAAAGAAACACAGGATAAACTACCATGTGCACAAAAAATTAAAGCCAATTTAGAGTGGCTAACAAAACTTGCATGTTTTTGGCTTGTGAGAGGATGCCAACGTAAAACCCACACACGCGTAGGGAGACCATACCAACTCCACACAGAAAGACCCTAGCTGGGATTTAAACCTAGGACCTTCATGCTGTGAGGCGACAGTACTAACCACTGCTGTGTGGCTGTGGTGATAAGCTTTACTTCTATGGTGGCCACAGTGTGAAATGACTATGTTATTGTAAATGTGAAGTTGTGATTAAGCAATACTAATGCTTACATCAGCGTATCACGTTGAAGTTGGTCTGCTTTGTAAAAATTGATCCTCTTGACATCATGTACTCTTGAAAATTGATGCATCATCAACATAGTTGTGTCGTACATTGTTCAACACTTATTTTCAACCACAGTTCTGAGCATGAAAACAAAATACACACGCACTACATTTTTTAAGATTTTGTATAATAAAAGTGCTTTTGCTCCACAGGTGTTCAAGAAAAGATCGGTGCCTGAGAGCAGAGGAGAGCTTTCGCTTTGCAACAGACATTGACCGCTGTGTGAAGGTTATTGCTCACCCGGACAGTATCGCTGTGTCAGCACATAGCGTCCCTGTGAGTCTACTTATCATTCTAACCAATCACTGCACTGTCACTCCACTAAAAATGCTAGTGTTTGTGAGCAATCACCTTGAGTAGCCTTTTAGAGCCACATAGAGAGGTAAGTGAAAACCCAACAGAGATTAACTTTGTGGGAGGAGAAGTAAGGCAGGAGCTGGACTCTCCCTGTGGGGCATCTATTAGATTTGTTTTGGTTTAACTGTATTGGAGTATGGAGCACTAATTTAATGCTTGATAAATTTGGAGATGATGCCAGACACTTAGATTAGTTAAAAAAAAAAAAAA